AAATTTTCTTTGGTGAAACAAAAACAAAGTTACAATGGAAAAGATGGTTAAATTAGTAGCGAAAATAAAACAAAAATCACAAGAGTGACTGACTGCAAAAACTGCTTCTTTTTGTTAAATCTTCAAAGCATAACATTGTACATTGACATAACACCATGGCATTGAGCTAAATAAGTTAGCCATGTGGATAAAAAATGTTCCTGTAAAATACACTAATTAATACCAGTGTTTAGTATTCTAGAAATACAAAAAAAAAGATTGACAATATTCATAGCAGAATTCTTTTTTTTCCACTCATAATTGTTGATTTATGTTTTAATTAATATGATCATAGACCGTATATCAGATTATTTTTATGTCAGCAAATTTCACAATTTTGTCAGTTATCTTATTTTAGCGATTTTGTTTTCACAGATAAAACTTTTTTTTCAATTTTCCTAATAATGTATTGCTAACAATAATGTATTCTGTATTTCATACTTGGTGTCTTGTCTCATGTTATTGTAAAACTGCCTATGTTTGCAAATACAAATATAGCGAAAATTAGATACTTGTGAATAAAACCTGATATACAGTATAAGATCTCATTAGATCAGTAATTCAATAACAATTCTAGTATTCAATTAAGTTTATAAGTCTATAAATTAATGTTACAGCTAAACCTACGTAATAATACAAAATAACGCTACAGATAAGTAATCTAAGAATTGCTGACCTCGTGGGTTCAAACCCTGTCGGGGGCAAGCCATTGTTCTCTTGAGCAAGAGACTTTATATTTATTGCTTAGTACTGGTTGGTTCCAGGCACGGTAATAAGAATGTTTCAATAAAAATACAGCTTTTCTAACACAATCAAACTAAAATAAATTTGTATAAACTAAACTACAAAATATGACACTGTTTTGTAAATATCAGCAGTTAAATAAAATACGACTTACATGTGTATATAACATCAACATTAAAATACCCTTAACCTAAATAACAAATACTTTATAATACTGCATGTTTGTTACACTGATTTTCATTGGATAACTAGTATGTTACATAGATTTTCATTGGATAACTAGTATGTTACACTGATTTTCATTGGATAACTAGTATGTTACATAGATTTTCATTGGATAACTAGTTTGTTACACTGATTTTCATTGGAAAACTAGTTTGTTACACTGATTTTCATTGGATAACTAATATGTTTTAAAAGAAGCCTTCAGCTTTCCTAAAGGTCAAATATATTACTTTAAGATAAATCCTTTCATATAATTGTCAAATCAAAAGAATTAAGGTGAAAAATTTGTTGGTTTGTTTTATTTTACGCCTTTTCCCAACATTATTTCAGTCATATAGGCGGGTAGTTTCCTAACCATCGTTAACCACCTGGAGAGTTACACCAGTACTAGACTACCTTTCTCCGTGCTAAACTACCAAAGCATCTCCCAGGGATACAACCCACGCCAGAGAGGTAAATGGATTAGAAGTCATCGACTCTTACCCCTCGACCACAGAGGTGGTGAAAGGTGAAAATAACAGCTACCTTCATTAAAATATATATACAGTAAGGAAACCCCTCAATACCTCTAGTCTACCAGTCTGCTCTCTATGTTAATTAATATAGCGGATGATTCATTTCCCAATCTATTTTTAGAAACAAATGTCACTATCATATTATAAATAGCTCACCGGATGCTGTGTTAAAGAAGACTTAACAATAAATGATGTATTTTTTCTGAGATACATGTAAAGTTACTGAAATACTTAGTTTTAAACAACACAGAATTGTTTGTCCAACAAAAAATAAAAGCTGAAGCTGCTTTATCATTACACACAGCTGCTATAGATTTAATTATAGATTATATAGATTAATCTTCATTTAATTTCACTTCAAAGAAAGGAGATGTGCAGTATCATAAATTTTGTTACAAGACTTTTGACAGGTTATATGGCTGTGTATAAACAGTTGTCTGATGATATACAACCATTGCTTCACAGCTTGGGAAATATATAGCCTTATAACTATTTGTACAAAATCATATATGTCAAAAATCTTTATTTAACATAAATATAACACATTTTAAATAAATAACATATTTAATCCTAAGAGATAGGTTAACACTATATGGTAGCATATCATATAACATTATATGGCAGACTATCATATAACACTATATGGTAATATATCATATAACACTATATGGTAGCATATCATATAACACTATATGGTAATATATCATAATTATAACACTATATGGTAGAATATCATACAAGAGGGCCATGATGGCCCTGAGTCGCTCACCAGAAACAACTGCTTTCCAGTGTTGGAATGTCAATATATTCTAATATTAAATTTGAGCATAGAATGCATGTTAAAACAATAATTTGAAGAAATGCCATGACCTGGGATATTTAAGATTTAACTTAAACAGGGCTAATCAAATTAATATGAGCAAACTTGATAAAAGACTACTTAAGAATGCTACAAAGTTTGGTGATCATCTATCAATTATTTCAGTAGGAAATGATGTTCAAAGGTTTTTTCTATTTTTAGCTTTAGTGGCCCCTAAAGGGGCCAATCAAATTAATATGAGCAAACTTGATAAAAGACTACGTAAGAATGCTAAAGACAAAGTTTGGTGATCATCCACCAATTTGTTCTGTAGCTATAGCATTTAAATGAATATCAATTTTTAATTTTAGCAGCCCCTAAAAGGGGCCAATCAAAATAATATGAGCAAACTTGATAAAAGACTACCCAAGAATGCTTCAGACAAAGTTTGGTGATCATCCATCCATTAGTTCTGTAGAAATAGACATTTAAAGGTATTTCTATTTTTAGCTTTACCGGCCCCTAAAAGGGGCTAATCAAATGAATATGAGCAAATTTGATAAAAGACTATCCAAGAATGCTACAGACAAAGTTTGGTGATCATCCATCAATTAGTTCTGTAGAAATAGACATTTAAAGGTATTTCTATTTTTAGCTTTTGCGGCCCCTAAAAGGGGCCAATCAAATTAATATGAGCAAACTTGATAAAACACTACCCGAGAATGCTACTGACAAAGTTTGGAGATCATCTATCAATTAGTTCTGTAGGAGAACATGTTTAAAGGTTTTTCTATTTTTAGCCCTAGAGACCCCTAAAAGGGGCCAATCAAAATAATATTAGCAAACTTGATAAAAGACTACCCAAGAATGCTACAGACAAAGTTTGGTGATCATCCATCAATTAGTTCTCTAGAAATAGACATTTAACAGTATTTCTATTTTTAGCTTTAGCGGCCCCTAAAAGGGGCCAATCAAATTAATATGAGCAAACTTGATAAAACACTACCCAAGAATGCTACAGACAAAGTTTGGTGATCATCCATCAATTAGTTCTGTAGGAGAAGATGTTTAAAGGTTTTTCTATTTTTAGCCCTAGAGACCCCTAAAAGGGGCCAATCAAAATAATATTAGCAAACTTGATAAAAGACTACCTAAGAATGCTACAGACAAAGTTTGGTGATCATCCATCAATTAGTTCTCTAGAAATAGACATTTAACAGTATTTCTATTTTTAGCTTTAGCGGCCCCTAAAAGGGGCCAATCAAATTAATATGAGCAAACTTGATAAAACACTACCCAAGAATGCTACAGACAAAGTTTGGTGATCATCCATCAATTAGTTCTGTAGGAGAAGATGTTTAAAGGTTTTTCTATTTTTAGCCCTAGAGACCCCTAAAAGGGGCCAATCAAAATAATATTAGCAAACTTGATAAAAGACTACCTAAGAATGCTACAGACAAAGTTTGGTGATCATCCATCAATTAGTTCTGTAGAAATAGACGTTTAAAGGTTTTTCTATTTTTAGCTTTAGCGGCCCCTAAAAGGGGCCAATCAAATTTATATGAGCAAACTTGATAAAAGACTACCCAAGAATGCTACAGACAAAGTTTGGTGATCATCCATCCATTAGTTCTGTAGAAGAAGATGTTTAAAGGTTTTTCTATTTTTAGCCCTAGAGACCCCTAAAAGGGGCCAATCAAATTAATATGAGCAAACTTGATAAAAGACTACCCAAGAATGCTACAGACAAAGTTTGGTATTAGTTCTGTAGAAGAAGATGTTTAAAGGTTTTTCTATTTTTAGCTCTGCTGACCCCTAAAAGGGGCCAATTGATATGACATGAGCAAATTCAAGTGTGACTGTCACAAGGATGCTACAGACCAAATTTGAAGTAAATCTGTCCAGTAGTTTCAGAGAAGAAGACCATTGTTGACGCATGACGACGGACGCCGGAGCATCCCCCTTTGATACTAATAGCTCACCCTGAGCCTTCGGCTCTGGTGAGCTAATAACACTATATGGCAGAATATCATCTAACACTATATGGTCGAATATGATATAACACTAAATGGTAGAATGTCATATAACACTATTTGGTAGAATATCATATAACATTATATGGCACAATATCATATAACATTATATGGTAATATATCATGAAACACTATATGGTAATATATCATATAACACTATATGGTAGAATATCATATAATGCTATATGGTACAATATCATATAACAGTATATGGCAGAATATCATATAACATTTTATGGTAGAATATCATATAACACTATATGGTAGAATATCATATAACACTATATGGTAGAATATCATATAACACTAAATGGTAATATATCATATAACACTATATGGTAATATATCATATAACACTATATGGTAGAATATCATATAATGCTATATGGTACAATATCATATAACAGTATATGGCAGAATATCATATAACATTTTATGGTAGAATATCATATAACACTATATGGTAGAATATCATATAACACTATATGGTAGAATATCATATAACACTATATGGCAGAATATCATCTAACACTATATGGTAGAATATCATCTAACACTATATGGTAGAATATCTTATAACATTTTATGGTAGAATATCATATAACACTATATGGTAATATATCATATAACACTAGATTCTATATGGAAGCAGATCATATAACACATGTTAAACAAATAATATATTAAATGACAAGGCATGGTATAAAATATGGTAGACTATCATATAACACAGATGTTGTATCACAATTCATCATGATCTTTATTATGTTTCACTTGTTTTCTCTGAAAGCAAAATGAAAATCTATAAATAGTTTTTCAAAGATGGAAATAATATGCAATTTAATAAACATTTTTTTGTTTGTTTGCTGAATTATCTGTCACACAGTATAGGTCATAAGTCAACTTTTCCAGCTTTACTGGTGGTGGAAGACCTCAGTTGCCCCTCTGTGCATTATTTCAGGCTTAAGCTGGCACCTGAGTAAAACCACTGACATTTCATTAGGTAGCTGGATGACAATACAACACAAAAGGTCATGTTATAATATAACACTGAAAAACATGTTATAATTTAACAAGATAATATAGAAATCATAAAATAAACTTGGCATACAAAGGGACAATACCCTTCTTTATTACCCCTCCCACTTTTCTATAGTCACCATTTGTAATAGCAATCTTGAGATTTTTTTCCTACACATATTAAAATAAAAATTTTGACTGATTTTTTCTTACCTTTGGTGTATTTTGTTTAACAAAATTAGTTATTTCTTCAGCATTTTGGCTTACAATATCCCAACCATATGCATTCTGAAATACCAAAAAAAAAAACAATTCAGCCCATTTTAAGATGTTTAAAACCTTTTCGTTTTCTTTATATAAAATACTTGTTCATATAAATGTTAAAGTACATGTATCTGTAATGATTACATCTATGTATCAGTTCAATAAAAACAAATGCTTTTCTTTAGCTTTCGATGTTTTGTCTACTTCATCAAAAATTGACATTTATAAAATACCAAATGAGCCGTGTCACGACAAAACCAACATAGTGGGTTTGCGACCAGCATGGATCCAGACCAGCCTGCGTCTCCCCGCAGTCTGATCAGGACCCATGCTGTTCGCTGTCAATTTCTCTACATGTTATAGATTTGTAAGCGAACAGCATGGATCCTGATCAGACTGCGTGGACGCACAGGCTGGTCTGGATCCATGCTGGACGCAAATGCACTATGTTGGTTTTGTCGTGACACGGCTCAAATACCAAATGACGCAATGTCTGTTAGACTATATGATAAACTGAACCTGATGTCAATGTGGCAATAAAAACTTTGTCAAATAAAATTTTATATATCCGTTTAATCTACACTGCACCAGGGCATTTCATTACAGTCCTATATTATAATTTAAAAGTTACATAATCAGATCAACAAGCTAAGCATTTCTCTAATATAACAATCTAACAATTGCAACAAATATTCAAAATGGCGTCAAATCATTTCTTTACAGTCTAAAACAGCTGTCCCATAACACACTACACTAATAAAGCCTTTCTTTACATTAATATTTCACAGCTTTACGGTAAAATAGCTCCATATAACCATATCTTCAACACAACATAAAACTTTTTATCGTCGATCAATTCTAAGACACAATCAAGATGTAGGGATTTGTTTTGCTTTTTATTATAGCCCATACTGGGTTATATTCCCGTATATTGTTTCCCAATCCACAGCAAAAAATTCCCAATTGAAAGTAACTAAATTAAGATACTGAATAAGATTTTTAAATTTTTTTTGAAAATAAGGGCTTCTTCACTATTATAGTACTTAAATCTGTGAGGATGCCATCCTAGACAGCGACTGTTTGCATTTATTTAATCACTGCAAATTTCAGTCATGATTTTTTCCCCCAATTTGTAACAAAACATCGCTAAATTCCCAATTCCATGGGTATGGGTCATTTTTCCAAAATCCTAGGATGCTAAATGTTGAATTTTTCTTTTCTTTATTATTGGATTTTACATCGCACCATCACAGTATAGGTAATATGGCGACTTTCCAGTTAAAACTGGTGGAGGAAGACCTCCGCTGCCCATCTGTGAGTTATTTCAGCCACAAACGGGAACCCGAGTAGAACCAATGATGTTCCGTAGGCTAGCTGAATAGCTTTTTCACATGAAAGAAACTGAACACTCTTGAGCAACTTGTACCTTCAGCTGTGGAAGGCAAGTGGTTTGAAGTCAACTACCTTAACCACAGACAATACTTATCGAGGATGACACATATATCTATATATATATATAAACCTCCATGAAATATTTCAGGCATAAAAAGGCACGCTTTGATTGTCAACCATCTACATTGAAATCTTCATTACATTAAAATCTTGTCTTTCTTGACTTGTTTGATTGGTTATACGGCACACCAACACAGTTTAGGTCATATGGTGCCGGAAGAGAAAAGATAATTTCGGCTAACCTCGGGTGTTACAAACTTCAAAGCAACACAAGGGGTTAAAACAACTAGACCTACTGTAGCTAAGAGATGCATAGATTCCAGTAATTTGAACCCATTTAGTCACCTAATACAATCACACAGGGATAAACAATGGCTGCAATTCTGATGCCTCAGACATTAAAGGCAACCCCTCAGCAACAAGGGGCAAAAGTTTTGTCTATCAAGATTCAAACCTTCAGCACTTAAGCATATTCAGGCAACCTTTTTCAACTCAGCAACTTTGACAAGTCATTCACACATGTTTTAAGTTTTGAGAAAAACTAAAAGAAATTTTGACTTACCTGGGGATTACCATTATTAGATCCAGTATAAAATCTAACAGTTGGATATGAATTAACACTGGCCTGATGACAGAGTTGTCTTTCCTGAGTACAATCTACCTTCCCTGCCTTAGCAGTACCTTCTATATTCTGTAATAATGTCAACATTTAAAGTTCCAAAACAATGTCAACAATTAAAGTTACAAAATAATGTCAACATTTAAAGTTACAAAAAATTATGTCAACATTTAAAGTTTCAAGGTATTATTTCATGCTTTCCAGTGTTTTACTGCAATATATTGGATGATTATATTCTGATAAACCACTAGTGAAATTTATCAAAAAATAATTTTTTTTACTGTAGCCAGACTATATCTGAATGCGGATGTAAAGAATATTATAACTAACTGGAATAACAGGCAAAACTAAATGCTGTCATCTGTAAATTTTGCTTTAAAGTTAGGAAAAGAAAGTCAATGTCATTATACATCATGTTAAAAATGTAAGAAAATTAGGGTATTTAACAGAACTATATTTCAAACATGATGATGTGCTGTCATGATGTCATAAAGGAGAATGTGCTATGTTAAATGGCACAATCAGTAAAAAATCACTTAAAAAGCGTGAAATAAAAAGAAAATTTATTTGCTTTACAGTCAGATAAAATTGAAATATATTTCATTTGTGAACACCAGTTTTTCTATTTTCACTCATAGCTAAGCCACTCATGAAAATACCGCATCTGGTGGTCACTCAGTGAAATATATTTCAATCTTATATGCAAAACAAACAAATATCCTCTATGTCAACATTTACAAACATTTACAGTGATGAAATAATGTCAACATTTAAAGTGACAAAATAATGTCAACATTTAAGTGAAAAAATAATGCCAACATTTAAAGTGATGTCAACATTTAGTGACAAAATAATGTCAATATTTTGTGACATAATATCCATCCATCCCTTTTTCAGGTCTAGAATAATCAATAATTGATAAATCATCGCTATTATATCTGTCATGTGTTGCTGTTTAGATCGGAAATGGTTAAACAGAAATGAAAGAAAAACTAGGTCATTCACTTTAAAAATTGTAAGAACATTTCAAGAATCTTAAACAGAGGGATGGCGGAGTATTGGAATAGTCACACTGGTTCTTGTTGCCATCATAGTGTATACATTTCTTAATCCATAATTAAATTGTTTCTTACATTCCATATATTTTCATTTTCCTTATTTGGAGTTGATCAGCTTAATTTAAATTAATTACTGACACAATATCTAAAATCAGTGAATTAAATGTGTCTTACATTAGCAACTTTTTCAAATTCTGGACGGAAAACTTGACAATGCCCGCACCAAGGCGCGTAAAAGTCTAAAATCCAAGCATCCGGACTAGATATAATTTTATTCTGGAATTTATTCCATGTTATAGTTTCTACTTTTGAAGGTAGAAATTCATATGCCCACGCCCGTAGTGACTCTGCGTCTCTATGCCAACCATTATATGTACTGAAATGAGAAAGAAAACATTCTATAATTGATAAATATTTATGTAGTCTTACTGTAAATAAAAGTTTTCCTGCCAAAAAATTCTAACATTAGCCAATACCACAGCAAATTTCTGGAACATTATTTTTTCAAAATCTTGGGCATCAGATTATTTAAAAATCACTGATCATTCACTGCTATGTACTAAATTCCGGTTTATAAAAAGTTAAAAATCATTGAATACCTAAGATTGTGAAAAATAACATTCAATAAATAACCGATTTATTACGATATTGGCCGATATAAGAAATTTTTTGTCGGAAAAGCATTGCAGTAAAGCTTCCTTAATTATTAACCAGATGAACAGTATAAGGCAAGGAATGCCATACAAAACAGCTTTGTTATATATGTCAAAGGGTGAGAAAAATGTGCAGCTTTAAAGGGACTTGAACCCGGGATCCTCAGCACACCAGTGCCCAGTTATATCGACTGAGTTATCAAGCCGCTTACACATCACCCCTCAAAAGTGAACATGTAAATACGCTGATATATAAATTAAAGTCGGTTAAAAGACATAGGCATATGAATTTATATGTACTGGTACTATAATTTGAACAGAGAGAAAGAGAGAGAGCTCTATTTAAGAGTACCTCTAAACTGATGATGCTAGATATTTAACTAATTTCAACCAATTGTTTCCTTGAACAAAAAACTTTACACTAATAGCTTAGTATTGGGTTTGTTCAAGGACCAGATTTGAGTGTTTCGATAAGCTCATAGCTTCCAACACAATCAAACTAAAATAAATTTGTAAAAACTTATTTCTCTCCTTTCCTGGTCTCAGCCCAGTATGAAAATCAAATGCAATTTTTGTATATTCATGTCTAACAATACTGTGAATTCACTTAATTTAATTGGCACAAATTTCCTGGTTTTGCCACAAAGAACATATTTAGTGTTTTTTTTAATTCACTGACTGTTTATTTCTCCAAAAGAGAAAATAAATAATATGAGCCAAAATAATCTTACAGAAGACGAAATAAAAATTTCCGTGGATCTTAAATTTGTTAATTGACCTATCCACGAAAACCACTAAAAAATGTTCCTCACAAATAATTATGATTTTACAGTTATATCTCGATTTTTTTCTCTCTCAAAACATGTACTCACAAATACGAGCCTCCTTTAGCCTTTGGTGGGTATAATCTAAGGTTAGGATATGATTGTACATGTTGACTAGAACATAAAGATTGCTCTTCCTGGCACTCTACCATCCCTACAAACACATTCTTCGTATCCTTTAACATCTGAAGTCAGGAAAAAAAGACATAAATTAATTAGTTTGAACAGCATCTAATTAAGCTCAATTACATTATAAAAACTTCAAAACTAGTAAAATTGGAATCATTAAATAACACTCTAAACAACATAATAGAATATGTCTCGGGTTCAGATTGATTGGGCATGGTTGGTCGAAGCTTCCATCCACATTACCCCTCTAATAAGGGCGCTCAAGCAGAAATCAACAATGCAGATGAGCTATTGTCGCTCCCCGAGTCGATTTCTTGAGCTAACCTTTAAAGCTGTAAAATAAGAAACACATGTTCATAAAGACAATATTGACATTAACCCACGATTAATCACTGGACTAAAAAGTTTTATCTTTAATCAGATATAAATATAATTGATAAGGAAGCAATATGCAATAATGAGAGTCTTGACATATCTTTGTTTCTTTGAAGACATCAATAACATCTTTATACCTTTAAATACATAAATTAGAAATTTAAACAATAAAGCTTCACATAATCACTGTTGACATGGCCCACACAACCATGAATAAAGCATAACCAATCAGATCTTACCTTGGCTAACCTTCTCCACTCTGGTGCTAACTGTTGACACGGCCCACACCACGAGGCATAAAAATCCACTAACCAGATCACATTTTCATCTTTCTGCAGAACCTGACTGTTAAACGAGCTTCTGTCTAACTTTATGACAGGTGGGTTCAATGTGTCCTAACAAATGAATAACCACACTCTATACAGATTTTTTAAAAACAAAAGTTGCTACTGGAATGGCAAAAAGATATGCATTGTGCTGTTTTGTTTGTTTGTTTGTTTATTTCATTTTACGCCTTTTCCCAATAGTATTTCATTCATATAGGCGGGTAGTTTCCTAACCATCGTTCCTGGAGAGTTACGCCAGTACTAGACAACCTTCCTCCGCGCTAAACTACCAAAGCATATCTCGGGGATCAATCCCACGCCAGGGAGGTAACTGGATTAGAAGTCATCAACTCTAACCCCTCGACCACGGAGGCGGTGCATTGTGCTGTCAAATATAAGCAACTAAAACAAACATAATCTTGCATTATGCCTATTCATTGAAAAAGTAACTGTATTTTTTTTGTTTTTGTTTTTTTTTTGTTGCTAATAACTAGATCTACCCACTTGTAACCAAATATGAAAATGACAAATGTAAATCATATGAATGAATGGTTCAAAGATGTATTTCTATGGATTGTTGTAATTAGTTCAAAGTCCTTTAACACAAAATGTTTTTTCCTATTTAGTTTACTAGGCAGATATCCTAACAAAAACATACGATTTGAAAATGTGTAAAATTCATTTGTGTAAATATAAATGTATATAAATGTTTGTATACCTGTATAAACTCGACGAGGGCGTGTTCATTATGGTTGCCATGGTATTGATGTGGAACAGACTGGTTATATAATATTGTTGTAGGGTATGATCTCACATTATACTGAAATATTATATATATTATATTACTTCATTACATACAGAGCCAGTGATATTCTTTTTTCCATTTTCATATCAACCTGTGGCTTTTTGAAAGGGAAAAATATAGCAAGATAAATTGTAAAAGGGGGAAATCTGAAATTAAATTCCAACAACTGAGAATTGAATTTACCCACACATTTTATAAAAAAATTAAATTTCAGACAATTTTTGGTACAAAGCAGAGGCCATCTATCGAGACAGCTTTCTGTCAATTAAATTATCAACTAGCTGATATGATTCAGCTGCTGTTAGGTCATTATTCTGGTTAAGAATGTGCACAGGTCATTTCAAGAGGAAAAATATAGCATTTTTAGGGGAAAATATAACTATTTAAGGCTAGGAGAAACAGCCTTTATACGGCTGTAAACTATAGGGGAAAGAATCATGGTGCTCAATAGATATTTATGTGTATATCTGTGATGATCTGTACACCGTTTTAGTAATGATAGGTCATCTGTACACTGGTTTAGTAATAATAGGGCATCTGTACACTGGTTTAGTAATAATAGGGCATCTGTACACTGGTTTAGTAATAATAGGTCATCTGTACACTGTTTTAGTAATGATAGTGTGGTGCCCAGACCCCTGCTTAGTGTTTCCAGGGCAGTCTGCAGCCTCACATTAACTCAGGGTTCGTTTTACACGGCCCAAGTACCAAATTATAAGTGAACACAGAAGAGATTTTGTAACTTAAAACTCTTTTAATTAAAATGTTATATAGATCAATTTATTTAAATATACATAGTCATGGATGCCTAAAGTCTCTTATTATTATTCCTATAGATGACCAGATTTCAGTAAACAAGTACCAGGTTTGGTACAATATAATGAGATACCAGATCTGGTAGTTACCAGATTGGGTACTATACCGGATTGGGTATTATACCAGATTTGGTATGAACCATTTCTGGATCAACCGTTTCTCTACACTGGCAAAGTAATAATA